CCCCCCCGCCCCTTGTCCTTTTTGCTCTTCAGATTTCTGACGTCTCTCATCAGCGCGGCCCCAGATCGACTGGGCAAGAACGGCGTTGGAGAGGTGATGGCGTCCACGTGGTTGGCCGGCGTGCCGTGGGAGAGGATCCGGGAGATGCGCGCCCCTTACGTAACGGATGGTGCTGCGCGCGTAAAGGTGAGGGCCACGCTATTCATAGATGCCCCGCTATTTTTCGTATGCATTCAGTTTGTCCACGGATTGAGCTTCATTTTTAGCCCGGCAGAAATATTTTGAGCGCCGATCTGAAGTGATGATTGAAAGAAGATCATGTCTCAAAAGCTGGTGGCATGATGTTGACGATATCCGGAATGCAGCCCTTCCCTGATTTTTCCGATAACAAATTGCCAGCAGCTTGTCGCTTTACAAGTATCGCCCTTTTGTCTTTGATGGTCACGTGTTTGAATGAAACGTCCTGGATCGCGGGGACGCTCTTGCTTGCGTTGGTTGATTTTGCCTTGTCCTGTCGCTATTTTGGCCCCTCCTGACCTTGGCAGGACGCATTGGGCTAACCATCCGAACCTGACTCAAGACTGCATCGAATTGACACCTGACCAGTCGACTGACTGCTGCGTTGCTCACTGCTTCTGGTCCTTTGCTTGTCTTGGGTTCTTTCACTTCACTCGAAGGATGTGTTGGCCCAACTATCCAAGCTTGAGCCTGGAGACGCCAGACAGGCGGCCGCGGTGGAGCTCGTAACGTCGAACTTCGACAAGTTCAGCGACAATGGCGAGGTATGTCATCCGAGAAGCTATGAAGTCGTTTGTATGTTTTCATCCCTAAAGGTGTGGCGTACAGCATTGGATCCTTCATACTGCTCTGTTACATTATATAAGGACCATTTGGGTACGAACGTGGATGGCGAAATGACCCCTGTATTTCCGAACAGAGCGGTACAAGACAAACACGTATTGGCTAAGCTGGTCTTGGTAAAGTCAACCTCAACCTTTGAGTTGGAGTTGATGTACCTTGTTGTTTTTTTGTTCTTCTGCGTCGAATCATTGCGGCCGACGGACGGATGATCCCACTGCTGTACTTCACGCTGTTGTGACCCAAGGCAAACAAGTATATTTGGTTCGGCAGTGTTGTTGTTGTTCTTCTTATCTTCACATTAAAAACTGTTCCGGTCTCCGCTCGGCACCATGTAATGTCCAAACTGGTCCAACAGACGCGGTGTGAAGAGAAATCGAAACAATCCCATACATGCGCGTTTTGGCCATGCGCGATAGCAGTGTACGTATGGCAATGCCGATGGACTTGTTCCTTTCGTTGGGCACCCTGCTCACAGTTGTTGCCTCTAGCGATGTCATCGGGTTCATTGCTTGCGCTGCTGTCTTGTGGTGTGCCACGATACGGTACCTGTGTTTTTATCCTCCTCTCGACACTTATTTCCAGCAATTGTGCCTCTGTCAATGCCTTGCTGCTGTTGTTGGAAGTGTTCCAACACATACGCCAAAACCGCCGCATGCCCCCGGCTGCTTTCCGCCCACCGATGACGTTGCTGTCGATACCACCCACCGATAATTCGGGGTCCGGGTCTCCTCATTGTGGTCCACTATTATATTTTATTTTAACTAATTCCACACATTTCAACGACGCGATCACGCCACAGGTGCGGTGGGAGAAGGCCGCTCGAGTAGCACAGCGACGAGACCGGGACAACGACTTCATTGGGTACACCTATAAACGGAAGGTCAACAAGCCCGACCGGGGGGGGCTGGGCGGAGACCTTTTCGCCGCCCCCCTGCCCGAGGAAACGCAGCAGACACAGCCGCAGCCCGCTGCGTCAGGGCAAGGCCACAGGTAGTAGTTCCGGCGACGAAGCGGTGGCTAGCCCTGACGAAATGGTTGTGACGACGGCTGCTGGTGTTCGGGGCGGAAATGGGACGTACAAGTTAGACAAGGAGGGAGGGTTTTACCCAGACCGACCACCACCCAGCTGAGTTTTGAGGGTATAGTATTTGGGGAAGAAGGTTGGGCTAAGCCGACCCGACCTGTCGGCACCAAGGTGGAGCGGATTTGTTCGGGCTCACCTGGCCTCGAGTGTAGAAGGACGGAGGCAAGCCGCGGGCGTTGTTGCCGTGATCGCCGACCTCTCCCTCTAGGAAGGAACGACGGAGGAGCAGCCAACACGGTACAAGCCCGTTGTGCTAACCGGTGGCTAGGACATGGTGTCATCGCAAGAGTCTTCACACCGCTACATTCTTCCTGCTTCTCCTAGAGGCATTTTTTGTTTTAATCCTCCATAGTGAGAGCGAGCGGCCTCCAAGTGCTTGGGCGTGATCGAGGTGGTCAAGGTAGCTGAAAGCTTGAGATGGAATGCTTGGTAATGGGTGTGCGAGAGAGGTGGGGGCTGGGCTCTTACAGCACGATCGGAGGGATAAGGGGGTTTCCAGGTTCCACCTTTCTACGTGTGTCTCAAATGGCACCAGGTAATGGTTCGTGATTTATATCTTGTGGTGCACGGCGCATTGCCGTAGCGGACAGCTGTAGACAGCCAGCCCCCCGCGGTGTTTGCTGCTGTTGTACGTGTGTGTGGTGCCAGTGTGGATTTTTGTGGCATACGGTCACCAGTGGACTTTTTTGTGTTGACCTCTTTGTTGTATTTTTTTTTTGCTTCAAGTACAGACATGGCCCCCAACACATCCCATCCCGCTTCTGGTGCTATTTAGTGTGTTTGTCTTTCTTCCCCTAGGCGTTTTGCTATTGCTTCTCCTGTTTTTTGTTTTTTTTACTCTTTGAGGATGGGGTGAGTTCCTCCTGCAAGGCTAAAGCTCGCGGGTCCTTCGTGCACAGCGTCGAGTTATTGGCGTAGGACGCATGCCTTTCGCATGAATATGGCAGAGACTCAAGTTTTGTTTCCGACCCTGCTGCGATCTCGGATGATTACCCAACATCCGGCGGCAACAGGGCTGCTGGCCTCCCTTCCCTTGGTCTTGTCTTCGCCCATGAAAACAGGCAGATGGACAAAAGAGCCCCCCCTTGTAATGATTCCCTCGCCAAACAGCGTCCGAATAATCTGAATTGGTGTACTAGTGAAAACACGTTGGTCTTGTTCCTTCTTGAGGAATGGGATGGGATGTAAGATTTAGACGTCGTTGTCTACTGGTATGGTATATGGGTGGTACATTATGGGAAGGGATTATTTGTCTTGGCGCTTGTCCTTGATGGTACCGAGATGAGCAGCCTTAGCCTTTTGCAGCGGTCGTGTGTACCGACGTAGTCCTAATGAATACTTGCTTTGATTTGGCGTAGTCTGAAAGATACATATGTTTGTTTTTTTTTCTCCCATCATTGGACTCTGTCGTCTGCCCCGCTGGCCCCTATCCTCCACTTCTACTAGCTAGACGACCCAACCGGGGCCACAAAGGAGGGGGGGGTTCCTGTCTGAGATGTTTTTATCGCGAGAAGGGCACAGCAATCCCTTCCCTCGCGACTTACGAAGTCGATTATGGTTTACTAACAACGAGCTTTGCAGCGCGTCGCTTTCATCCTGGACCAGGATATATATAGTGAGAAAAAACGCACTCTGCCGGGACTCGAACTCATGACCTAGCCCTTCGCAGGCTGCGAGGGTACCCACTCGACCACCGGGGCGACCATGTGTATTGTAGGGGATGTTGGTGGGATGGGGGGAAGGACGGGGAGGTTACGTGTTATCATCCGCAGATTGATGGAATCGATTCCATTGCTAGGCTGTACACAACACGCCCTCGTTCTTTGGAATAGAATAAGGTACCGACAGTGTTGTGGCGCTGGTGGACAGAACAACATGTGCTTTGCACTTGATCGATGTGGTGGTGGTTGGTAACGGCATGGTAAGCTGCCTCTTCTTTGTCTGCATGTATGTGCTGCTGTGTCGATTGTTGTTCTCGTATTATCGTACTCGTTCAAGTCGTGTATCCTCCCGCGAACGAGCCATATTTTCTACCACTGGGTTACAGGCCACGGGTTGGAATGCAGGAATCGTTGTCTTCATTAACCTATATTGTTGCCGGGCTGCATGTATGCATAGTAGAGACAAAAGGGAAGATGACCTACAGGTTAAACTTGCGGGACTTCAGGCCAAAGATACGTGGTGTATTTTTGGCGGTTGAACGCGCACCCAATGCAAATGTATTTCCGTGCTGGAAAAACGGATACTTCCGTTCGTGTGTGTGTGTGTGTGTTTTTTTTTCTTTTGTCTTCACATCAAATCAGCGCTCACGGCACTGGTGCCGTTTACTCCAACCCGTGGTCACACAGAAGAGCCCCTCCCTACCCTCCCCTCCTGCGGTACTTTGCCTTCGATTTTTAATGCGAGAAGAGTTCAGCACTCTCTTCCCTCTGTGTACACACGAACTTGCGCTATCCACTAGGCCAGAAGCGGAAGCGAGAGAAAAAGTCGCTTTGCAAGAAAAGCTCGCTTACGCCGGGATTCGAACCCCTGACCTGAACTCTAGAAGGTTTCGGGGATATTGATTAGACCACCGGGGCGAGGAGTGCTACCACGCCAACAAAGAGTGTTTCACTACTGTATGTGGTGATCTTCGACAAGCCATTGCCTGTGCATACGTGCGCATTTGTGTACCTTCACTGACAACACAAACCTTCCTACTTTCTGTAACTGTTGTCTTGGCATAAAAGCCGTTCCGACCACTTCTCAGTACAGTACCTTCCACCTGACGCGGACACCATGTCCGTGATTGTGTTGTGACGCCAATTATTTACACCTAGATACCCATACCCCAGAGAGGTACATGGCGAGAACAAAGACAAACCACAAGAAGTAGAACCCAAACGTTGAGCAGCAGGTGTTCTTCTTCGGACAACGAAGACGACACATAGCTTTACCATCGCTCCCACTGGACATTTTTCACCGAACGGAATAACCTCAGACATCCTTGGCACAAAGGGTGGGAGAAACAAGAAACAACTTACATAGCTACACAAAAGATGTAAGCCGGCTAGGCTGAAGCGTGCTTCTGAAGCACGAGTAACCGCAACTTCCACTGCTGCCGAAAGGACCAACATGTTGGCGTCGTGCTTGCATCATGGAGGAAGCAAGTGCACCCCGAGGAGACCCCTCCCGCTCCACGTCTTCGGCACAAGCGTCAATTCCCTCACCCCCCCTCCCGTCCCCACGGAGCCCCCCTCCCCACTAACACTCGTCGTCCTCAGCACCGTGACGGGCACCTCCTGCCCCTCCTTCTCCCGCACGACGTCTACCACTCCACCAAGGCCCTTGGGGTGAGAGATGTCCACATGGCCAAACCGCAGCACGAGATCGCCTACCGCCAGCCCCGCCGCGGACGCCGGAGAGCCTTCTGACACCTGCCGTGTGCATACAAAAAAAAAATGTTTCAATGCGGAAAACAGGCCAACCGTGTTAGTTTCCATACCATGGCGTCCCATATTCCCCGACATAGGCTTTTTCGTTTCGTTCGCGCAACACCAACTAACCGTGTCAGTGATACCATGTTGCCATTCCCGGCCGGTGTGCGTGTTTTGTGTTGGTTGCACTGTATTAATAGCAGCCCAACATGAACGGCAATGCAGGATGGATGGGTAGATGATACCATAGGTGCGAGCTTGAAGGTTGGGGAGCCATGTGTAGCGGGGAAAGCGCTTACGCTTCCGAGGTACGGTGTTAGCAAACAACAAGACATGTTGCTACGACAGAAAGTACGTCATGAACATGGCTCTTCTTCATTGTCCTCGCGTGAGCGTCATTGTCTTGCAAAAGAAACATAGATCGAGGTTCTGCACACCACAATGCGCCTCCAAACACCCGCTGTGTACTCGCGCGACACACTCCAAGAGGAGAGTGGTATTCGAAACACCCCTCGAAAGCAAACATACCCATCCCCTGCTGCGACGTCTTCACCTGGTTGACCTTAGCGATGGGCGCCAGCGACATGTCTGCCGCGGCGGCGGCCGAATCCATACCAATCAAAGACGATGCCGGTGGCGTAGCAGCAGTGACAGAAAAAGCTGTTGGCAACGGCGTTGGCCTCGCCAATCTCGCATCGTGCAAGGCGTGGAGGGACTTCTCTATCCTCGACATCACCGCCTTGTGATCCGTCTGGATGCAGTTGAACCTTGTGTTTGCAGGAAACGTGAGGGGTGGGAGTGGAGACGAAATATAGAGTGGCGTGGCATGAAGGCATTGTGATCCGTCCGTATGCAGTTGAGCCTTATGTTTGCAGGAAACGTGAGGGGTGGGGGTAGAGACAAAGATGAGGGAGGTTTGAAGAGATGTTCACCACGACGGTGAAGAGAGGCCGGTAAAAACATCGTGGATGGTGAGTTGTCGGAACCGTGCACAACGTTGGAGACAATACAATGAGCGTTCGCTCGCTAAAGCTAGCCCTGTCTTGCCATGGGCGTCCCAACAGGCCCACAGGTTAATGAAGCGGCACCGCATACCCCCTGTGCCGAAAAGCATGCTACGTTGATATGACAGCGCAAGCAAACAGGCCAAGCGAGAGAGAAGACAGAGGAAGGGTATCACCAGGAGACCGTGGATGATGCAGAGCATCCCCCCGAGCAACACGCGCCCCGTTCGTCCCCCACCCTGACCACAGTCTTCATACGAACAACGTACCGGCCATACCCTACAACCGCGTAACATGCATGACACCAGCACCATCTACACTTCACACACAAGTACCACATCGCGGACAGCAGAAGCATCTTTGTGCTACTACTTATATGGAAAAACACGAAGAGTAGGTGCTACTGCCAAGTTGGACGCACCGGTGCCTCTTTTCTCGAACGTTGAAGAGGTCGAACCCTGCCAGCGGGAAGCCATCGGCGTCAACGAGGGCGCCCTTCACTCCCACAGGAGCTTCTCCGTTAGCTCCAGGCGACTTGAGCTCGCTGGCGATCGCGTCCGCTTCCAGCTCGAGGGCGTCCCTCTGTGCCTGAAGCACGACAAGTTCCTTCCTCAAAGCCTCCTCAGGGGACGGAATGGCCTGCTGCTGCGGCTGCTGCGGCTGGTCGGGAAAGGTGGACATGGCCGTATGTCGCTGCCTGTCGTCGTCTGCTGTTGGGGACAAGCGCGAAGTGTAAGCACCAGTGGTTGGAAAAAGTGTGAGAGAGAGAGGGAGAGAGAGAGGGAGGGAGGGAGAGAGAGAGGGAAAGAGAGGGAGAGGGAGAGGGAGAGGAAGAGAGAGCGAGGCAGACAGAGAGAGAAACAAAGAGAGAGTAGCTTGGTAATCCCGATGCCCCATAGCAGTCAAAACATGGAGACAAGTAATATATTATTCTCTTGCGTAGTCACATTCAGACATTCAGAACGACTCAAGACAATATGTTCTTGAGTTTTAGGTTGATGGTGTCCCAGTCTTCTGATCACTAACATGTGTTTCTCGGCTAAGATATCTGTGCATCTATTGGTGGCCATGCGTGCGTCTCAGGGCCCTAGAGGGGGAGCAGTCAGCGGCGCCCTTTAGATGGTGAAATATTGGTCAGTTGCTTTGCATTGCCGCTCCCAGGGTCCGATTGGTACACGGTTCGATTTGGGTAGCGGTATGGATTCCTTCTACAAGACCATTTCTCCACAGGGTCAACGACACACCGCCCTGTCCAGCGGGTGATTACACTGACAGGCTGTCCCTCGCGCATTACCCGCGGACGATCCCTTGCAGTACAAAGCTAGCGAGAGGGAGATAGTTCCTCGGGGGCTCACCTCCACCCGCTTTTCGATGCCATGAACGCCTCTCTCCGATGTGCGGAGAAAAGCACACGCCATGTTAACGTCACGGGCAGGGAGGGGAAAGCCGAAAATTACGCTGCACTTGAGGACGAACGGCAGTCGTACGAAAAAAATGCCCGCCCCCAAACGAGTCTTGAAGGGCGAACTTGAGGTGGGGCAAGGCGTGTCGAGGAGAGGATTTCGCCCTCGCTCTCTGGCAGTGGCCTGTCTTGCCCTGTCGTTACGGCAGTGGAGGACGAACACTCGGCTGTGTTCTTGAACGCGCATCGAAGCCTAGGCGAGGCGAGATGAGCCAACGATATTTGCTACTTCCATCACATTGTCCGTCCGATCTTGATACCTTGGTATCGGTAGGCATCAGTATAATTTTAAACCTATTGTACAAGCGAAGCGAGCCACCGATGCTGTGAAAAATGACACCATGGTAAAAAAAAAAACAGGCATGCACTTGTGCCGTCAAGTATACAGCTGCAGCTGCTGCAGTGCGAAACACGCTGGCTGGCCATGATGCACCGGAGTACCTCCGTGCGAAGCCACCCGGTAATAGTAAAAAAGTTACTAGCTAGGACATGCCGCTGCCGAGGCATCATGCAATACCAAACTAGAACCAATAGAATATCCTACCGCAAACAAAGGGTGTCGTACCAGCAGCGAGATCGACGTGTAACTAGAGCATTCCCTGGATTACCTGCCTGCTGCCTGCTGTGACATCAATTTACGTTGATCCCCAAAGAAAGGCGGATATATGCAGAAGAACAGATTTTCCTTCCCCTGGTGATGGTCAAGTATTTTTCTTGTCTCCGTCTAATCCTCTGCGGTGGTAATCGCCTTGTTATTCTCTGCGATGCTACCTCTGTACATCAGTACACCACATACAGCAGTGTATGTATGGCACTCTAGTCTACGTACCTACGTTTTTGACGCGGCTATCGGCGTCGCAGCAACCAGCATTGTTGTTTCGATACAAATACAACGTATTATAATGGTCCGTCTGGGACAATTTGTCCATAATTCCGACCTGCACTTACGTCAGCTTTTCTCCGGGGTGGGGGGGTTGTTCCGAAAAATGAAAGTACCGGGAAACACCCTGTCTCCAGGCGCGTGTCCCTGTGGAAACCGTTTATTTTTGTTCGTCATTTATCAGCAAATGACCGGAAATCTCGGATTCCTTTTTCCTGGGGGTGTCTGTTTATCAGAACACAATTCTGAGACCGGATTTCGACAGCTCTCGGAATTCCCCAGACCTCGAAAATTTTCCGATTTTGATTCGAGTGAAATACAAGGAAGTTCTCGACGAAAAACTGGATTTTGGAGACCTTTTCCTCTCCGATATGCCACCACGGAGCTAGCTAGGGCATTCCGCCGTATAATTCGGGGGTTCCGCGGAATGAATTGGGGGTACCCTGGATCATTTTGGCCGAAAATGTCGCATTTTCTCAAAAAAAAAAACTCTGCAGCTATCGACGTAGCTCGACGAGGCGAGGCGATCACGAACATCGTTGTTTCAACTCCCATCTCATGATTAAAAAATTGATCGCCCAAAACGAGAATGCACAAATTGTCCCGGACGGACCATAGCTATTCGATACACTTATGTTGCTGCTACAAGCAGTCTTGCTTACCGTGTGAGGATGTCTGAGCCAATGATTCAAAACTCCCATGATTGTTACATAGCTGTCATTCATCTGTACGTGCTGGTGGTGCGGCCGTTCCACTAGTCTAATTATTTATTTTATTTTTATTTCATTTGTTTCTGATTATATTTTGTTTTCTTGTATTTTATCGCTCTGCTGACCCTAAGGGTCCATTTTATTTTGGTATACCTTTTCTAGGTACGTTAGCCTGTGACCACGGAAATTGGCCGAGTCAAGTGATGGATTAGTACGGAGAGATTGAGACAGAAGGAGGTACTGGATAGAGAGACCGGGATGGTTTTTAATGTGAAGACAACAACAACAACAACAACCCACGTCGTCTGAACTATGTAGACGCAAGGGTACGGCAGTGGACAACATGGACAACCGGGGTGGACATGCAGTTGTGCAGCAGTACTGCTGTAAGGCATTCGTCTCTCTCCTTCCTCCCCACACTAGGAAATCACTGCACAAATGTTTGACCCTCATCATCAACAACGCAGGCTACATATGCATGTTACTGCTGTAGGAGACAAGTGAAAGAACGGGAGGGATACCCATCTTGCCTGGAAGAATCCAACGCCGAGCTCTCTCAGCAACCTTCCCCGAGGTAGAGCAGTAGACGTACACTTCTACTCGGCCTGGGAGCACGCAAAAGTTGTCTTCACGTCTCCACATCACAAAACCGTTCCGATCTCTCTCTCCAGTACCTTCATCTGTCCCTGCTTTCAAACAGAGACAGGCTAATATACCCAAAAAAGGTATACTCCTTCGCTTGAAAAAATCGAGGAAAAACCTGTGGTGTGGTCCATGGGCCCATCTGGAAAGTGAATTCGAATATTACTCTCCTCAGCCGCTCAGTCGTTCCGACAGCCTGGGCAAGCCTGGTTGAGTTGCAACCCCCCCGTCTTCCACGCAAACTGCTGGTCGTTTGCTCTAGCATAGCTCCTACGGCAGAGCTGGCTGGCTGCTTCTGTGGAGGGAGAGCGAGAAGGTTTTTTGCTGTGGGTGTGTGGAGCAGGCTGGAAGCACCGCTGCTGCTGCTGCTGCTGCTGCTGCTGCTGCTGCCGCTGACAAGGGCGTTGTGCCGTGGTGATGGCAGCCGTGAGACGGGAGCGGAGGAGAGACGAGGCTGTCGCGGAGCTCCTGAGCTCCGAGGCAGAATACGTGTCAGACTTGAAGGTGAGGGGTCAGGCTGGTGTGTCGTGTTCCTCGTGTCTGCAACGAAATATAAACGATTTGAGAAGAGTATAGTACAAGTCCGTGTTGGTGCGGGCCGCTGCGCATCAACGTATGTGATGTACGATATTGTTTTGTAGTTCTATCCCAAGGTTCCTGCCGCGTGAATCGCAAGACACTGCCTTGCGGCAGTCCTCACGCACACGCAAATTTCTACGCGCGAGCCTATCAATGGGCTCTTCGTGTCTCATCTCATCCCTTGTTGCACCATCATCCAAACATCCACACTACTACAGCAGTAGTAGTCATCGGGATGACTTTTTAATTTGACCAACAACACGTCAACAGCAGTCGAGATATGCAAATGAGAGAAGGGCTCTCGACTCCTGTCTTCCCGAACATCCACGGAAGCCGCGAGATGCTTGAACACATGTATTGGGGCTTGGTCGCCTTGACCTCCTTTCCCTCAAGTTTGCACAGCAGTTACGGTTGGCCAAGCTCTCGGAAACATAGCAACCTTCGGTACTTGCAGCAACTAACTCTCTCACGCTGTTGTTTTGTTGTAGCATACAACGAGCCCTTCGCTGGCGCCGAAAGGACAAAAAATACCGCAGTGACACTGCTTCACACATTCAAAAATCACGTGTAACCGTCCCCGCGGGGTGCTGGAACAGTATGAGGACAGGCGAAGGGGGGTGTATCATGATGTCCGCATAAGACACATGTGCCGATCCATGCAGATAGAGCAGCCCTGAGGGAACACGAGCTCCCGCGGCACAACCGCCTGTGGAGCCAGTTCTTTCTGCCTCCAAGCAGCAGCAGCAGCAGCAGCAGCAGCAGCAGCAGCAGCAGCAGCGGGCAGTGAAACGCTCACGCTTCTCACCCCCAGCTGAAAATTAGTCTCCTCTTCAGCCCGCAGCCCCTGAGAAACAAATGAAAGGCATGCACACACGCTGTATTCAGACCAAGCACACACACACAATGTGCGAATGTATCTTATTATCTAGGCACAGCAGCCCGTTTACCATGACGCGCGCATGCAGCTGCTGGCTGTTACCGCATGTGACGCGAGGTACTGCTGTACCATTACCCCCTGGACCGATTTTCAAAGCTCCGTCGGGACAAACGCAAACATCAAACATTTAAATTAAAACGGAAGTCTACTATTTAGGAGAGCTCTCCGCGACACGAAAGGTCCAACGCCGCCATTTTGGCCCTCCCCACTACGTGTAGTACTTCATCATCTTCTGCCGTGGATAGTGGAGAGGCGATACTGCTGTTGTTGTCTTCTCATGAAAAACCGTTCCGTTCACTCTTTGAACATCAGGGGTGTGACCATGTTGCCTGTGCCACTGAAGGACGGCATCTGGTGATGGATGAATAGCTGCTGCAGCCAGCCGTCCAGCGGAGAATAAGCCAACCAGCCTGCCGCCCCGGCATGGGCACGCGGCACCTTGAAAAGGGAAACGCAACGTCAATTCTCGGCTCAGATCTGAAGCACATGTGTATCGAGGTTATTAGAGCAATCTCGGTCTATTTTAATCAAGTGTGCCCCTACGTGAGAAACTCACGACTTTAAACCGTGGAATTGGTGTCGCACAGCCTTGGCCTGACCCTGGTCTTTTACCACCACAACAACGTATCAACTACTTGCTATTACAGTCATGACACAAGACAATTAGGGTCCACGGCATAGACGTATAGACAAACTACCACGGGCAGACTTAGAAATGAGCCCGTAGGCACCTAGCAATGATGGCCATGGCGTGCAGAATAACGTAGTAAATAGTATCAGAGCCGCTAGAAAAAGATGACAAAGAGCCGTTAAACAATGGCAGCCACTGTCCGTTGTCCTACACAGACCGGTGTGAGCGTCCGAGAAAAATAGTCCCCCTGATCGTAGGACAAGCGAGAGTACTCCCGAAATTGTTGCTGTATCGAGAGCACGGCTTTCAGCGACCTCAAATGGGAGGGAGGGTAGATAGAAGACAGAGCCGTTTTGTAGGCCCCTGTCGTGTGTCCCCTCCCCCCCCTCCCATTCAATGTTGGAACCCTGCCTTCTCTATGTTGCTTACTGCTAGAGAATTACATTCTACTATAAATATATGATATAATAGCTGACGTGCCTACGACCCTTGGCCATCCGAACGACAAATACAGCGGCAGGCTCTCCCTCTCTCTCTCTCTCTGCCCCCCCCCACGCCCCCTTGATCTCTCTCCGCCAGTCGTTCTGGGCAGGAGAAAAGGGAGGTTGATCTCGAACAAAGGTGTTGCTTCCTTTGCCCCTACCCCCTACGTCTATCTTTCGGGTACCTCAGCTTGCTGTGTCTGTTCCTGCCGCTGAAAACATTGAACGTGATCTCTACGTAGGTTTTTGTGAGGATTATTTGTTTTCGTTCCCTGCCGATCATACCACCCCCTTAGTCCCATCTTCCTGCCCCCTCAGGTGGTAGTACAAGGGTAGTGCCGACTATTTTGCCACCTCCCTCGAAACTGCTGAACAACAGGAAAAGTCTTGCGGCTCCTTGACACGTCTGTCTCCGACGATGCTATGCATAGCTGCTGCAATACTCGACCCCCGTTGTGTGTTTGTTCCCATCATGCCAATCTTGGTTGCACCGCGTGTGTCCCTTGGCTTCCGTGTGTCCAGTTGTTGGTGGATGTGTTCTTGCTGCCTCTACAGAGATGGGCGAAGGAGCTTGAGGCTCAGCGGGACCCTGCTCTTGACCACGCAGCGGTGCATGGCGGCAGCATTCAAGCACGTTCGGCGCGAAGTTTCACACAAGCAGGTACATGTATGTGCATACGTGCACGTCATCAGTCATGCATCTAGTTCTTGGCATGTTTTTTTTTTTTTATGTTTTTTTGTGGGATTGGCGTATTTGCCAGACGTCTCTTAGTTATTTAGAGTCAGGACCAGAACCGGTTTCGTTCCGGTTGGCCATAGGTTGAGCTCGTTGCCATGGAAGAAACCTGCGGAAGGGAGGGACTCATGGGAGAGGGGTGGAAGACTCCCCTGGAATGCGATAGGAAGAGGGTGGCTTTGCAAGCTTTGTGCCCACAGGGTGGGTGTTGACTCTCATCGAAATCCTTTGGTCCCACCGCCGTCCCACCCCCGCCATTCTGCACTCACGCACGCACTTTTGACTCGGACAAAGACTGCAAGGAGATCTTCGCCAACACGCTCGAGCTGGCGCGCTTCAACAGGCAGTTTCTGCTCGATCTCCGAAAAGCGCACGGCGGTCCCTTCGTGCCAGGAAGCGTGGGCGTCGTGTCTCCGGTCTCCACCTCCACCGAATGCAACGAATGGAGCAAGGTGTGTCCGCGCACATGGCAGCTTGTTGTTGTGATTGTTGTTGTCGTCTTCCCATTACAAACCGTTCCGATATCTCGCCCAGTACCTTTATCTTTCCGTCTTGATGTACCATTTGCAAAAGGGTTGCTTATCATAGTTTCTTGCCGCTGTAGTCTGTGCCTTAGAGAGTCAAGTCCAGACTCACCTCTCTCTAGGATGGTTGCAGGAGGGGAGAGGGTCGGGGGTTGTTCGCTGTCGAAGCGATGTCGTCCGCATTTTTTTGTCCTTCATCCCTTTTTAACTCTGCTCTTTTTTGTGTGCATTAGCAAATGACAATGGCATGTATGTTCTGTTCCCCCTTGTTAGCGGCTCTTTTTTTGTTTCATTCCAACAAACCGTGTATGTTATGTCCACGGTATGTTAACTGCTTCCCGTGCTATCTATCGGTCCTATTTTTGTACTCTACATTCTACATTTGCATTTCATGTTTACACCAGATGTTTCCCAACACCAGTTGTTTCCCAACACCAGTTGTTTCCCAACACCAGTTGTTTCCCAACACCAGTTGTTTCCCACCCCTCTTCAGCTGCCCTGTTTTGTTTCATGACAAGAAACTTATCATGTTGCTGACAAATAACTGCTGAAGGTGCGTTATCTCAATGCTGCAATATGTTGATGCCAGGTAACCTCGGCGGGGGGGGGCGAAGACATCGGGGACCCCTTCCGATCGACGAGCCCGAATATCTCAGAAAATGGGCCTCGCCAAATGCTTCAAGTGTTTCTCAATTCAGCACCGTTCTTGAAGGTGAAAGGCTATTTTTGGTGGTACCAGGCAGATGCCAGTATGGGCCAAGTAGGATTGCACGATAGCAGTTGGGCTTGCGAAGCGTTGTCAAAGCAGCGACAGTTTGAGCGCAAGGGTGAATGAAGTGTGTTGTTGTTGGAGCGGTGTGTGCCCGGAAATCGCCATGCTGCCAAGGGTGTTGCTTGAGGCTTTCTTTCCGCTCGACCTACCGTAGCTTGACAGCAGTACGGTAGGAGTGGTGTGAAAACGCGGACGGAGGTTGATGGTGGTGGTCTTGCTAGCGTCATCCTTTACCTTCGGATGATGATGCTGCCGTTCGGTGATATTAGGATGAGTACTGTAGACTACCAACCCGGAAAAAAAACGCTTGATGTACCATGGTATTGTGTTTGATGGAACGGCAGTCTCACTGGTCTATGTAGTAGAGTGATTTTTGAAGCTGACACTTGGCTATCTTTTGCGATGCCTGGGGCAGCGACCTTGTCCCCAGTTCCATGTCTCGAAGTGTCTGCGATGGTATATACTTGGAACCATTGTGCTGCTGCGGCGCAGCCATGGGCTTCTGTTGCCTCGCTGGGGTAGAAGTTAGGCATGCGTGTACAAACGAACAATGAATCACGCATCCAGACGTGCGAGGATGAGTTTAGTTCCCCGTATCTGACTCGTGTATACGGGTGTGTGTGTGTCTACGCGTAGCAGATACATAGCGGCATAACCTCCGGCTGTTCAGGACTGACGGGCTTTCTGAGTTAGTCCTGTAGTTGTGCTTGTACCGGTCTTGTCGTGTGTCTGATCTGCCCACTTCCCCCCCACACCACGAAAACAAAAAATCCACAGATGTATTCGGAGTACGTCAACAACTTCGACGCTGCGCGAGAGAGGCTGACGGCGCTGGAGCGAGATGACCCCAGCTTCAGCGCCTTCCTCACCGCGTGCGAGAAGCAGAAGCCATGCCGCGGTCTGCACCTCAGGGACTTCCTGGTTTTACCCGTACAGGTATATTGTGCTTCATCTTGTACACGCGTATCGGACTGCTGTGCATGTTTCCGTCAATCTGTGCTTCATGTATAATGCAGCTCATCGGCTATCTAGTCTCTTGTGTATGTATCGATCTTTCCATCCATGTATGTGGCTTTCAATCTCTCCTTTGCGTTGTCTGTCGTCTCTTGTCTGTCTGTCATTGATTTTATCCTTTAGCCGCTAAAACGCTTACGGTAGAAGCGTGCTCCTTCGAGCATGGCACCCACTATTTTCACCCTACACACCAAATAATGCAAAAATGCTGGGTGGTTCGTTTCCGCGTCTTGGAGTCTGTCTCCCAGCAAGGGCCTTCCTTTATGGTATATCTACAATGTTTTGTTTTTTTTGTCGTTGACATCACATCTGGGTGTGTTGTTCTTCTTGTTGCTCCGTGCCGACAGCGTATCTCGCGATACCGGCTGTTGCTGGAGACTATCCTGCAGTACACGTCGATCGATAGCAACATGCACTCGGCCGTGGAGGAGAGCTTGAGCACAATGGGCGGGATCGCTTCCAAGATAAACTCCGACTTGTCTCTCAAGCTTAAGAGGAACAAGGTGAGCCACATGTTATCGATAGCAGTTAGGGACAAAGGGTGACGAAGGACCTCAGTCTACGGAGTTGTTGCGGTCGTCTGTGTAGGTTTGAAATATGACAGACTTGTAGCTTTAGGGTTGGACAGCAGATTTCACGGTGTGCAAGCAGCAAGCACTGCTGTGTCGCTTGATGCGGTTTATAACATCCCACTTGCTCTTGAGGTCCGAATGTCTATCAGGAAAAGTGACAGTAGTAACCCAACATGAATCCAGCTGTGCCCCACCTCTCTCGGCGAATGATGCTGGACGTGGGACGTGCGATGTGGGACGTGTCATGAACCTGCGGTGACGTACGCACACCGATTTGGTGTTTTATATCGTCCTCCCTGCTACTGGAGCATGATGGGGTGCAATGTTGATCGATGTGTCGTTGGATTAATTTTCTGCGTGCATTGCTCTTTCCGTGATTATCCACGAAAGGTGTACCAGCTGCAACAGGAGTTCGGAGGGGCGAGCTTCGTTACAGCGTCCAGGCTGTTCGTCCGAGAGGGAGACCTCTTCAAGGTGCCGCTTCACTTCATTTCGTGCCGTTTCATAGTACTCCGTGCTCATTCGTGTTCATTTCGTGTCGTATCGGTTTCTTCCTGAGAGCGCTCGCAAGCTTATTCTTTGGATCATGATTGTGCTCCGTCGGCGCCTTCGTTGAAACGACACCTAGTGCTCCGCTCTACTCCAACTTGTTGTCTACGAAAACGACGAGAAAGGTGGCCCGAAATGGAGTGGAGAGGCTTCACTTTGTCTTGTTCAACGACCTCCTGGTGTATGGACAGGCCAAGCGAAGGAGACCCTTGTTCAGGTAAGCTAACGGAATGGAACGTGTGCCATCATGTCTTTTCAACCGTTTTCAAGAGTTGTGGTAAGGTGCAATACCGTAAAAAACGTGTCGCCAGGTACGCCTAGCTTCTCTGGTCGTGACTCCGTGGTGCAATGTACAAGCGGCGCGCTTTTCTCAGAACGAAACTACTTCATGACGGTTAGATTGTAAGCGGTGTCGAGTTTTGATCACATCGCACATGTTGTACTCGGTCGGTCGTGTAGATACCACACACAGACTCTCGAAGCTGACCATATCTTCTTTTTTCTCGTACTATTGATAGTATTGGTACTTGTGTTTATTTTCTTGTTTTGCGTATGGTACAATACTGGTACTCGAACTATACTTCGTGGGCGAAAAGATTAAGTTAGGCCGTGAGCAAGCGCATGGTCGACACAAGAAGAAAAGGGCACGGATGTCACCTCACATTGATGCGTTGGAGAGCTTTGTGTACAAAGCTAAGCGACTGGGGCAACCCTCCCCCTGTTGCTCCTTTTTCTCTCCTCTTTGCTCTCCTTGTCAGATCAATGATTTAGAATATTCATTAGTTCAAGTACAAGTCAGGCCGTCGCCTGAAGCAGGACCACAGGTTGCTGTTGTCCGTGTTGCTAGCTTGACAAACACCCTCCACCCTCTACCCCCCACCCGCGTACTCCGTGGTACGCATGCGCAGACGAGGGTCTAGCCGTGAGCAGCTGTACCACCACCGGCGAGACATCAACCTCAGCAAGTGCTTCATCGTAGACGCGCCCTCGTACGGCAGCCGCTGTTCTTCCTTCCTCGGTGAGCACACGGACCCCCCCCCCGCCCCCAATCTGCACACGGAGCCCCCCGGCAAGGAGGTCATGTTGGGGCGGCCACTTTGCTGTGGGACTCTGCCCCTGCTGCCGCTGCTGCTGTTGCTACTGCTGTTACTTCTAGGTCTATCTATATTTTTTCTCCGCATGTCCGCAATCCTTGTGTCTTGTATGCTTTTGTGTTTCTACAGTATCATATCTTGACGGTTGTTGTCCGTGCTGCTTTTGTGCTGGCGGTTTTGGTTGTGGTCAGGCGAAACCGGTATACTGGTGATCTCCGAGGAGAAGACGTTCATGGTCATGGCCAGCACGGCGGTCGAGAAGGACGGGTGGCTTCAGGCCATTAGGCTGTGCATGAGGGAGCTCTCCACCAGCAACAGCGTGGTGGCCCGCGAGCGGGGTTACGGCAGCAGCAGAAATCAGGTTGGTGGAGACACGTCTTGACGAGAACGACATACCACGTACTGCTGTAGTGACTGACAAGCCAAAAAGAACAAGAAGAATCAGAAGGTTGTGGTAGGGTGGTGGTAGCGTGATTAGCGGGCGCCTTGGTTAACGGGAAATCGTGATTTTCCGGGCTTGCATGTTGTGTTGATGCATGCCTTTAAGTCACAGAGAGTTTCCCCGTATAGGATACGCGCATCCACAGTGTAAACTTGATCGACTTCGTAAGTCGCGAGGGAAGGGATTGCTGTACCCTCCTAGCGATAAAAATGTCTCAGGCAGGAACCACAGGAGGGGGTCCAACCCCCCCCTCCTATGTGACCCCGGTTGGGTCGTCTAGCTGGTAGAAGTGGAGGATAGGGGCCAGAGGGGCAGACGACAGAGTCCAATGATGGGAGAAAAACACACAATGTTTTTTTGGTGTGGCAGCGATGGCGACGCCAACATGGAGGGAGGGAGGGAGGGAGGCAAACTCAGGCCCAAACCATCATGCCCAGCACCCAGAAATTTTTTTCTCACCACTCAGCTATGTGAAGACTTCAAACGTCCCCCTTTGGTTGTACTAGTATATTATCTAGACCGGGTAATATACTCTTTCTCTGTGACTGCTGTACGTATAGTTGGTCGTGAATTTTCCCCCAAGTCTTGCACCGCAACATATGCTCACCACACCAAAACTTCTCGCCGCAGGTACTGGACGACGCGCGTACCCAGCGGCGGCGGCGGCAGCACGCCACGTGCAGCCCCCCCGGGAGCAGCAGCAGCTCGCCCCAAAGCTGGTCCGTGGCCTCCCACAGCCCCATGGCAGCCTCCGCCCCCCGTTCCGTCTGGGTACCTGGCAAGAACGGTAGCCACAAAACGAGCAGCCTTAGGCTGGTGGAGTTCTGCCTTCCCCCGTGGGCAGGGGTAAGGACATCGTGCGGGTGCTTGAGCCACACAGAGCTAACCTGGGGAAAGGATAGCCTTGCCGCGGGGGGGCAGGACCAGGGCCTGGGCGGGGTGGCGGGCGTGATGAGCGGGGTCGGGTTGTCGCCGAACGGCGGAGACTGGGTGAGTGACGGCAGTGACAGGGTGGCGGGGCTTTGCTGCTGCCGGCTGTGGGTGTGTGGTGCTTTCTACGAGTTGACGATGATCTCGCTCTAAGCCTCAGGCGTGTTTTTCACTCCCGAGAAGTTTTGTTCGGCATTTTTTGGCGATCGATCAATAGTTCGCCAAGCGGGTGTGTTACGGCTGGTGATGAGGAGATGGTGTGGACACGGCTGGCTCAAAGCAGCATCAGACGTTGGGCACAGCCGACGTTGCACTGGACGGACTCCCGCTCCGCTGACGAAGTTTTGAGTTCTTTTTGTGTCTTTGTTACTAGCATTAGCACAGACTGCGCTAACGTTACCTGGCTCACCAATGGAAAGACGTCAGTGCCAGTGCGGTTGACACCAGGAAGTGTTTCTACAGGCTACCATGATCTGGGACCCCGTGAGGGGGCGTCATGGGTGTGTTTGTCTATTTTGCTCGTTATTACTGCCACACTCTTGTCTTGTCGTATGTCGTCCCTCACTTGTGCTGTGTCCTTCATTTCGTCGCTTGTCTCTTATTGTTTGTCGTCTCCCTTTTTGCTGGGTCCTTCTTTGCCGACAGCGAAACGTGGGCGTCGGCGCTGCTCCGTCCTCTGACCTGCGGCAGTCCGGAGGTACCCTTCAGCCGAGAAGCGGAACAACTTGTCCGAGAAAGGCGAGTCGGCCGAATATCGTCATCGTCCAGTCAGCACCACACATTAATCGAATCCCCTGCTCCACTCTCTCGGTTGCTTGTATTTAATCTCAAGATCCGGAAAATACGGGATGGCAACCCACACAAATGCATGGCGCCTGCTAGCGTGATATGATCTCTGTTTGTTACCAAGGTGCTTGTCCTGGCAACGACAATGTTGGTGGCTGTTCGGGAGGGCTTTGGAGCAAAGCTGAACATATGTTGTGCACGGCGCAAACCGGTCTAGTTTAGCGAGGGAAAGACACTTGGACGTCCCCTTCTTGTTTCCGCCGTTGGAGCCCAGCCTGATATATGTGTCTCGGAGCTAGTTCCTAAGCGTCCACTTCGATACCATCTCCAGGCACTCATGGTTTCAAGTTCGCCGCCCGTACGCACGTGTCTGTTTATCGCTGTATGTATTTTTTCCATCAGGTGGCCCTTGTGATCTCGATGAGGCCTTCGGAGCCCATGGGCCTGAGGCTGCGAGAGCTTCACCCGGAGTGTGGGGGGGGAGTCGTGGTGATCGGTTTCGAGAGGTCGGCGGCGGGGAAGCGGGCTGGCGTGCTGCAGGGGGACCGGATCACCGAAGTCAACGGTAAGTGAGCTCCTTGGCGGTCCTCCGTTGTCGATTGCAAGGCGGGACGGAGCTCGTGCTTTATTCAAATTTATATGCGGTACCACCTGCATGGCGGTTCGTGTGGCAGAGTTTGGGAGGCTGAAAAAAACGCCTCCGGCAGCCCTCGTGCATGGCCCGCTGCCAGATATTGGCCCCGCGTTGACAGGGGAACCAGAATAGACTTGACCCTTTGTGGTTGCGGCTCATAACTCATGATTTGAGTGGTATTGATTGTATTGATTAGTGGGTGGTGTTACTCAGCGTGTACCCCTCCCACCGACCACCACCACCACGCGCATCCACACCTCACCCTTCCGTTTTCTGGGCGCACGGCAGGAATATACGTGACGAGGACAAACGACATCGTCCTGGCGCTGCAGCAGCAGCAACAACAGCAGCAGCACCAGCAGCAGCACCCCGGGATCGGCGGTCTGCGTTTCAGCGGCAGTGGCGGCAACAGGCGACAAGTTAAACTAACCGTCCTCCGCGGCTTCCCCGACAGCGAGAAGCCGTGGCTGCCTCGCCTGACCCTAGAACCGTCTCCGACGGCAACCGTCCTCACTCCCCCGAGCAGCGCGGTAGAGTCTCCTGCTAGCGGTGAAGACGACGACGATGCGAGCGTGCCGTCCCCCGTGCTATCCGCTCCCGGCCGGAAAACGTTCAGCGGCCGCGGCACCTCGGGGAACAGCACCCTGGGCTTTGCCGGCTTTTACAGCAGGGGCGGCGGCGGCGGCGGCAACAGCGCGGCAACGGCGGTCAATTACAGTCCGGAGGAGCCGCCGCCTTCGGCGGCCACCGCGAGCTCGACGACGCCGCGGGTGCCCGAGAGCATCACCGTGAACACGCCGGTGGCCTCAAGCCCCGAGGCCGTGCTTTCAGCTCCCGGCCGAAAGACGTTCAGTGGTGGCGGCGCGGCACGCCGGTCCAACAAGAGCGGTAGCCTAGGGTTCGACTTCTCCGTGGCGGACGACGAACAAGAACCGGCGCCGACCCTAACCCATCAGCAGCGGCGGCAGCGGGCCTTCCTGTCGACGACGGCGACGACGGTGGAGCTTGGAAAGAGCGGCGGCGGCAGCAGCAGCAGCCACGCGCTTACCCTAGCCGTGGACAACCCTCCCAGCCCGGACGAAACGAAGGGCGACGAGGACTCCGGGGAGTGTGGGGATTCGAACGGCTCGGCCGATAGCACCGGCGGGGGGCGGCCGCTCAAGGTGCCGGCCCCGACCCAAGCTAACGTTAACGCCGGCGGGGACCCCGCGGTGCCGTTCGCGACGTTCCGCGGGGGCGGGAGGGCGACGCCATCGCGGGAGGGGCAAGGGCAGGGGCAAGGGCGGGGGCACGGGATGCCGTCGTTGGGGCTCGGGGTCGGCAGCGCGCTTGCGGCCTGCTGGGGGGTGCAGGAAACCAACGACAACGACGAAAACTCTCGCCCGACGGAGTTCGACCTGAGCAACAGCGAGGAAGCGGAGGTGGAGGAGAGGATCGTTATCCGGAAGCCGCCCGCCGTCTTGGTGGCCATGTCCAGGGGCACCAGCGCCACCTCCAGCACGGTGGGGGGAGCCGGCGACTACGGCGAATTCGACGAGGGCTTCGGGGACGACGCGCGTTCCGCGGCGGGATCACCCGGGTCCGGGTCCAGCCGCGACTCGTCCCTCTTGCTGACCGCGGTCTCCCCGTCGCGGGTGCCCCCCCCCCTCGCCTCTGTCGCATCTTCGGCCACCCTCCCCCCGGTGTCAATGGCCTCCTCGGTAGTCTCGGGGGGTTCGTTCTCCAACCCCTGGCTATCCCCCACCCCGAACCACCACCACCGGCAGCAGCAGCAGCAGCAGCAGCGGGATGATTCCGTGGAATCCCCCCCCCCCGCGGACTCGATGTCGTGGCTGCAGCCGCTGCCGCCGCCGCCCCCGCCCCCGCAGAAGGACGCGGAGGCGAAGGCGGAAAACCCTTGGGAGCCGTCACCGTCGCGGGCGGCGGCGGCTACGGCCAGGCGGGGTGGGATGGGGCTGGCCTACCCGTCCGGAAGGTGGGTACAGACTCCCCAGACGGGGGAGATACTGGAGGAGCAGCCGCCCGCGGAGCCGAAGGACGGGGGGAAGATGTAGTCCATACGGTATGTAGTACGGTGCGGTAAACTTGGTGGCCTGTTGAAGTTGTGTCGTCTGTCTGTGTCGTCTGTGCCTTAGTAGTTTTTAGACGGGCATGCATCGACCGAGCTGCTATTGTAGCCTGGGTGGCAGTGGCTGGCTGGCTGACGTAGGACAATGAGAAGAGTCTGTTTTGCCGTTGTCACCGACAAGCGGGGCGATGACGACAACGACACCTATGAATAGCAGTCCGCCGGGTTGTGATGCGGGGTAATGTGACGTGTGGGCAAGTGGTGTGTGTGCGTGATTTATTGTCGCGGTCTCATGGATGGCTGAGACTTCGGGTGAGGTTCGCGTCAAGGGAGAGAAAATGGCGTTGATGTTAAAACACGATTTTTTTTGTTCTGTGTATGCCTCGGTGTGGCTGGCTGGCTGGCTGGCCAGCCGGTGAGGTGACGTCGGCTATGCTACGAATGGAGTAAAGGTGGACGGGATCGGCCGGCTCGTTGACGATTTCCCGTGAACCGAACAGAGGTAGAGCTTCCGTTTGTTCCCTCGAAGAGAGTGAGTACGGTACGGTACGGTACGGTAGGATGTGCCATGGCTGGCGCAGGAGGAGTAGGGTTAGATATTTAGTACTTCCATGAGAGATGAAAAGAAAGGGGCGTCTTGTACGCCCCTGTTTTTTGCCCCAGCTTGCGCGCGCCCGTTGTTGCGTCCGTTCGTTTTGATTGATTGATCGCGTGGCGTATGCCATCGTCTGTCTGTCTACTGTGCTAGAGTAGCTGGTCTAAATTTTGTTGATGTTGCTCTTGTGGGTGATTGTTGTCTGTTTGAAACGAAATGAAACGATATACGAAAACGAAAACTTATGTTATACTCATAGTATCGATCGAGAATGAAGGAAAGAAGGGATGGCAGAGACAGAAGGAGAGGCAATGGGCGAGAGAGAGAGACAGAGGAGTGTAGCTCGTAGCCACGGGCCGTGCATTACAAGTTGCGATGTTCACCGCGTGTTTTTTTTCTTTGATGTTTTTTGTTTCTTTCTGTTTTTTGAGTACCGAACCATACCATGGTTTTGCGTACCCCCTGCTGCCGTGCTGCCGTGACCTCAGCAGCGTTGCCCAGGAAGAAGAAGGCTTGTAAAATATACTGCTGCTGGTGTGAGGCAGATGCACGCACCCGATAGAGATGTGCCGGTACCCGGCCTTGCGAAGTGAAGTGCTGGCCTGTTTGAAAGTCAAGTCTCTCTTGTTTGTTTGAACCCCAATTCCAGCATGCCATCGGCTGTGAAAGGTGGGTAGGTGCTTCTTGACCTAAGTCTGTTGCCCCTTTGTTTTACCGGTTTTTCCTTGGAATGAATGGAAGTGTGGCGTCGCTTCCTGCATTGCCGCCAAACAGACCAACAGAGAGGTCCTGGGTGTCGTTGTGTACAACAACAAGCCTGTAGGGAGGCTTAGAATGTCGATCGACACTCTATCTAGTATTCTTTTTGTGGCGGACGTATGCATGCATGGGTGGTCAAATGTTTGTGCGCGTGTGTGTGTGCGTGTGTTTTCTTCTTGTGTATGAATCTCGTGTGTGGGTGTATTTGCATCTCTGTACGCGTACTACAATAGTCCTGTGCCCTGTGTCATGAACGGGAACTTAGTAAACGAACATAAGCAATTGATGAGCATTCTTTACTTCCAGGTGTAAGGTATGCATGTCGTTGGCCGGCGGCGCGTTTTTGAAACAGTCGAGAATTTTATTCCCTTCAACGCTGCTACAAAAATCGAAGCGACTCTTCTTTTCACCAAGCCGCTCACACAAGGTAGTAATCATGTCATGTATCATGCCATGTAGTGTAGAGAGGATCCCCCCTTATCGAGGTGACCGTGTGCTTCTGATATGCGCGTGTTTGTCCGTCCATGGGCTGTTTCGCTGGCTTTACGCCGCGTTGGCTCTGCTCTACTCTGCTCACTCACGCCGGGTAACTGCGCCTGGTTATTTGGGGTATTTGTTCCTTTCAACTCGGTCACCTGAGAGACCGATTTTCGTTCATTTGGTAAGCGTGTCGCCGCTTTTGTCATAGCGGCGGGGGCGGAGGGGGGGGCGTACTCTTATGTTTTGCATATCTTCGCGGTTAGACCATTGACCACGCGTCCTCGAGAGGACGGAGCATTGTTCCCACAGGACCGATCACCGATGGCCAATCGTTCCTTTCGGGGGGGGTGGGCTTTTCTTTTTTTCCAGCGGATTCACAACTTGAAGGCTTGAAGGAAGGGCCGTCTCACGAAAAACTCCCTCCCGAAGTGTGTCAGGGGCACACGATTTGGGGGGGGGGGGGGGGGTCGTATTTTCCAGCGGGTTCACAACTTGGCAACTTGAAGGAAGGGCCGTCTCACGAAAAACTCCTCCCTAAATGTGTCAGGGGTCAAACGTATTGGACTTACTCGTTCGCGTTGTTTTCTACGGCCAGAACGATCGTATATGTATGTATCTGTTGCTGCTACGTGCTTGTTCGCCCTTTGTGCGTCAGAATCGGGTGCTTGCTGCATTGAGCGAATTGTTGTTGCTGGTGTGCCTACCACATATGTAGGTAGGACCATCATTGTGTTTCTGTTTCAAGGGTTAAGATAAAAATACCCAGACCTCGTCCCAACCCTGATGGGCTACAGTACGCAGGATCGTAGGATCATCCTGTGTTTCTTCTGTTACAAGGGCGGCAATGATAAAAAAAAATGTCGGCATCTTTCCACAACCCCTCAGCTAGCTTTAGCTGTTGAAGAAGTAAAACTCTTGCGGTTACACACTAGGTCAGTCTCTGACCTCTGACAGGTATCGACATCGCACGTCTCGTACCTCTAGGCGCGCGGGGGAGTGGTGCGGGCCGTGGTTGTGAGCAGGCGGGTGAGATGCGTTAGAATAAAAAACTTCCACCAGGAAGTGCTAGTACTACCCCGGTATTGTAGTGGTAGTGGACTTTCGGAGTAGACTCGATCAGGTCTTCGGAGGGCCTCAGCGAAGGGTGCCCTCATCTCCCTCATCTATTTCTCCTCACGGTTTTGTACAATGTATGCACAAGAATACTTCGTTTTGTGGTGCTATCGGTGGGAGACATGGTTCCTCGTCCGTGCCCCTAAAAACTGCTTTGAATTTACAACACAGCTGCTTAGGTCTCAACTGTACAAAGCATTCGATTAGCCGCCTTATCAACACAACACGTCAGGTACGCCAAGTATACAGCATGCTCCCAAAAGACACACCAAGTTTTGAAGGCGACGAGTCTCCTTGGTTGGCCAGGTAGACCACCTCTCTACCTCTTCTGCATCCCCGCACCACGTTCAACGGCACATGGGCTTGGCAGCCGGAATCCACATCATACCTGTGTCGTTGTCTTTTGACAAGTTCTCTCTCTCTCTCTCTCTCTCCGTCTCTCTGTCTCTCTGTTCCCCCCCCCCCCCCCCCCCCCCC